GCGGAGAACTCACCTATTTTGGAATCTAGCAGGGAGTGTAAAGTGGGGTCTCAGAGTAACCAAATGCCTCTCAATGCCCCTAGAGCCTCGAGGGCGACCAAGTGCAAGGCCAGAGACCCCAAACGTTCTTGATTTGGGAAAGAGTCAGGGAAGGAAGCTTGGTCTCAATAAGTGCAAGGATGGATGGGGAATGCTTCGAGCTTAGGTCCTGGGCAGCATTTCTTTTATGTGGTTGGCCCAATCCACAGATGTTCCAGATTAGAATCTTCATGGGGCACGGAGAGAGAGGTAGTTGCACCTAGAAGTGCGCCTGGGAAGCTACCTGACCAGATGAAACTGATCGACCGGAAGTGTGAGGTGAGGTTCCGGAGGATATCCTTTGTCATAATTCACCCCAAAAACAAGGTTGGAGATGTTGGACAGCTCTCGTTTGCCCTTGGTCTTTGTTTTGGATTGGGAAGAAGCATATGCAGCGATGAAATCCTCCAAGACTTCCTTAGGGCCTTTGAATTTGAAGCCTATAACCTTGAGGACGTCAAACAAATATCCTTGGGCACAAACCATGTCCTAAACAAATACAGAATCGACATAGGCTGTTGAGTCTGCCAAGGTGCTCTCAAGGGAGTCTATAGAAGGAATAGGGTAATTTAAGTAATCATATGCTTGAGGGGTATTCTAGTAATTTTGGCTCATATCATGTATTTTGGTTATTTTCCCATATTGAATTTATCTTAGGGAAAATATCATATTAAATCCCCCTATGAATCCAGGTTCCAAGAGAAACCTCATAGTTATTTTGATTTCAATCAGCATTCTATCTGCTCTACACTTTTCACTCACTACTTTTCGTGCCACTTCCCTAATTTTCCATTATTCTTTTTTTGGGAAATTGTCCCATACAATATGCTGGGTTCTGTAGAATTCAAGGGGTTAAACCATCTTCTCCCTCTATCCCTTTCTCATAATCTCTCTCCTGAAACACTCTCCCTCTATCTGCACTTACTCTCTTTCTAAACAAACCCCCCCACACACACACACACACACAACAACAAAAAGAAAAATGAAAAAAAAAATCCTCAGCCTTCATTATTTTGTTTCCTCCACCCCGTGTAAACCCTAACCTAACACCATTAGTCCTAACATGAACCCAAAAGCTCCTCTCTCTCTACAAACCTAGAAGGTCCAAGGCCCCATTATTTTTCGAAAACTCCAAGGCCTTTCCCTCTATATCCAAGAAGTTCAACTCTCAATTTTCTGTTTATATTACCCAAACCAACAGCCCTTATCTCTCTCTCCACCCAAACTCAGATACCCCTAATAGTGCTGCCCTTTTGCACCTTACCTATCAGTGATTTATCTCTCAGCTCACCACTTAGATACCCCTAATAGTGCTGCCCTTTTTCACCTTCTTGTGATTTTTATCTTTCATCTCATTTTTTTATCTTACCATTTTACTTTGCCAAACTCCACGGGTGCTTCCTCTCAGCCAAATTCCCCTAAGTCCCTATCATCTCTCTCTATGACATACAATAACAATCATTCATTTATAGGGTTTTTGCCGGAGTATGGATGGAAGACAAGACACAGGAACCTTGGTAATCTTAATTTGTTTTCAATGATCAGCTACTAATTTGTTGAAATTCATTACCAAGATCAAATACTAATTTGAGAATGAGTATATTAGATATAAGATAGACCATTTTAGGTAATTATTTTTATTTTTGGGTATACAAAATTGAAAAAATTGCCAGAGCATAGAGATTTTTGAGAGCGAGGAAGTATACTCATCCTCATATTTTTCAATTCCTTGTTGGTTTATCCATCACACTGGTAGTCGGCATTCTAGAAGAAAAGCCAAAAGCGACTAGTCGCTTTCTCAAATGCCTCTTTACTATAGTCTAGTAGAGTTTAATATCCCGAATACCTATGTACTAGAATAGAGTCTTTTGCCTCATTCCTTAACCTCCAACGCACGCTATTAGGAATTATGTATAAAGATAAGGCCCATGAATTGTAGTAGAGAGAAAGATGAATCCATGATACAGCATAGAGATAGCATTTGAGAACCCACAATTATGTATAAAGATAAACCAATGAATTGCAGCCAATAGCAGAAAAATAGAGTTCACAAATTTTGGTGTAGAGAAAAATGATCAGGGTTTTAGGATGAGCAACCCAGCCCATGCTAGAGAGAGAATGAGAGAAAGAGAGCATACAAATTTGGATGCAGAGGAAAAGGATAAAGGTTTTTAGGATGAGCATAGATAAAGTGACAAAGCATAGAGTTTGGGTTGAGAGAAAGAATATAATGAGATAATGAGATGGAGAGAAAGAGCAGATTGGGGCCTTGAATTGGAAAGGAAGAAGTTTGAGTGAGCCAATCTTGGAAAAGTAATGAGAAAATGACGAAAGTGGTACTGCAGCAGGTGGTGTGGTGGTGGTGGTGGGGCCGGGGGGGGGGGTGGGGGGGGGTG